CCCCCCCCCGGCCCCCCCCCCCCCCCCCCCCCCCCCCCCCCCCATTCTCCCCGCCCAGGCCACACTCCCCTCTCCCCACCCGGGCCACACGCCTCCTCCCGCTCCCCTTCCCGCCGGCGCTCCTGCTGCCGCTTTAACGGCCGGGACCGCCCGGCCCGCGCCGCGCGCTCCAAGCGGGGACCCGGGGGGCGACAGATTTGGGGCATTGCTCGAGGGCAGTGAGTCATGAAAGCCGCTTTTGTTACCCGCGCGTGCGGTTCGCGTGCCGCTCAGCAGCCAGCAGCGCCCAGTGGGGACAGGAGCTGGAGGAGTAACGCTAACTTGGCAGCGCGGGCAGAGGGAAAGGGCGAGAATTTAGGCAATCGGGAGGGGAAAAGTGTTCAACTGTCGAAACAAAGTCCAAAGAGGGAGAGAAAAATAAGGAGGCGGGGGCGGCGACTGTGCCTTCTACTGAGCCCCACAGCGCCCGCACTCCATACTCTTCCAGCGTTACCGCCACCACTGTACTCTGGCCCCACTTTCTCGCCCTGTCTCCTCTCAACAGAAAGCACCTCAATCTAGGTCTAGTCTGCCCTTCTCCCCTCCGGGCCTGACTACTAGTCTGCCGCCTCGGGGAGGTCCAGCTTGGGTTCTCTCTCGGCGCCAAGATTCCCTTGCTGGGGGATTGACATTCTCCGCGCAGAGGAGGGTTTGCACCCAAGCTCTGTTGGCCTCGAGGCTCATTAAGAACCACAGTGAGACCGAACCTCGCCAGGTCTCTGGAACATCCTGGAGTGGTCTTTTCTTTGTACAAATCCCAGGCCTGGGAGAACGACGGACACTCGGATTAGGGGTGAATTTATTTGAAAGAGAAGGAACGGGTCTACTAATTTCTGCACTTTGTGCATTTGAGTCTGGGATGGCCAAACACCCGGTCCTTTTCTGCCCTGGAACATCTGGTTCCACCAAAAATCTGTATTCCACAGGATGTCGCAAACTGAGGAAGTTTTCACTTCCCGGGGGGAGGAAGGATCCCCCAGGTCATCCCCGGGTCTTTGGACAGCTTGAGCCAATCTCTTCCATTCGCCCCTAACATTTCCCCTGAAGCTCGTCTAAGACCTTTGAGAAAGGAGAGCCAGGGCACCAGATGCACATCCCCGTCGCACAGTGGGCTAGCTTGTGGGGCGGCTGCCGGGAGACTGGGGGGCCCTTAGTCCAGCCCTGCAGCAAGTGTCCTCAGACCTGCGAGTTGTGGACCCGCCTTAACTTCGAGGCCCCTTCAGTTTGAACGCAGACAAGCAAAAACTTACAGCTCTGCTCTTGAAAACCTAGCATAATTCATGTCATGCTTTCTGCAGCGGGTCAGGGTGTCCACCCCTTTATTCCCCTTTCAGATTTGCGCTGGACGGGAAGGCTGCCATCGCCACCTTCCAGACACCAATGATCTCCTTAGGACCCTCTTCCCCTCTCCACTGCATCGCCCCTCCAGTTCCCAGAGGCACCTAGCTTCAGCCACTCAACCCTGACACTGTTTGCAAACTCAAGGGGCTTTTAGAGCAATTGCCTTTAAATAAACAATCCAAGTTGGACACATTCATTTGAAGGGGCTACCTGTCTGGGAGGGATAGGGTGTTAGTTAATGGATTAGAGACGAAGCTGGTGGAGAAGGAATGGAAAAGATGGGATATATAACTAAAACCTGCCTTGGTAGGAATGAATAAATAATCACCATTCAAACACAAATATAGTTCCTTCAGAATTAGTCGGGAATCTCATGATCTTTGCTTGACGTGCAAGGTGGAGGTCGCGTGAAGTCAGCGTCTTTGAGGTCTGGAAGAGTCATGGCCATCAACCTCTTCCAGAGTTGTGCTAAAGGCCTTTCTTGAAAGAGGAGCAAAAAGACTCATTTAGCATAGGCCCGTTGCATCCTCCCTTTGAGAAGGCTTGTCTGAACCAAGTACCTACTTACAGGCCTGAGAGTGTGGAGTGTGGAGTGCCAGCCTGTGGCAAGGAACAAGGTGCATCCGATGAGGGCATCCTTTGCAACAATCCAATGGCCTTGGCAAAAAGGCAGAATCCAAGCATCAGCGGAGTCCCCCAGCTTTCACACAGAGAGCTCTTGAGGCCGAAGGAGCCGGACTAGCTGGCGCTGAGGACCAGGACCTCTGTGGGGAAGTCTCCAGGGACAGAGGTAGCTGAAGGTGGGGGCACAGCGAGTTGCATTATGTATGGTGGGGTAGAGTGACAGGTACAAACTTTCTATGCTGTGGAGGGTGGGAGTGGGTTATACAATTAAGGAGGCTAGAGGACTAGCATCAAAGCTGAGTTTACAAATGAAGCCATTTTTACATGGCGTATATGTTTTCTTGAGGGTTTGGTGGAGATGAGGAGAAGCCACCCTTTGGTGCCAATAAGCAAAGCGTCTGCCAAGAGGAGGAAACCCAGAGATGGACAACTCAGAGAGGGCAGAAAGTCTTAGTGCTCTGGAGACCAAAGCCTGGACGAGGCATCCAACGGAGTCAGGACGCTTCACTGCACGCCTCAGTCTCCAGGCTTCTGCCTCTTTCACCTCCGCCCTACTTCCCGCCCCAACGCGGGCCACTCACTCTAATCTAAACCCAGTCAACGTTAGCTTTCCCGCTCCCTTCCCTCAGTTCCCCTCCCCCTTGCCCCCTCTCCCTTCTGCCGCCTGAAAGGGTTAATCTCTCCTGCGGGTAAAAACAGGTCCGCGGAGTCTCTAACTGGCGACAGATGGGCCACTTTCTTCTGGCCACAAAGGGGCCGGAATGGAGCGCTCCGCGGCATACAAATGGGCAGGTCACGTGGTTCCCGGCTCCTGGCTGGACCGGGAAGACCATATGGCGCATGCCGGGGAGGAAGGAGATGGGGCGGGGGTAGAGGTGGGGGCGAGGGGAGCTGGAGTCGGAGGAGGGTGGGAGAGGAGCAAGGCTGAAGGGGCGGGCGGTGGGGGAGGGCGGAAGGGAGCGCTCAGCCTGGACGCGTGCGCAGACGCCGGGCGCAAGGACCTGCTAGCCGCTCGGCTCCCCGCCCCGCCTGCGCTCAGCATCACCAACCCCGCTATATAACCTGAGAGCCCGGGCGGCCAGGACACGAGGAATTCGCCCCACGCAGAAGGCACGGCATCCGGAGGCCCCAGGGTTATGAGACCATCACTGCTCAGGACCTACTAACAACTGCAGGTAATTACACTTCTTTCATTTTTGCCTGGGAATAAAAGCAGTAATTGAAACCGGATGTACCTACACATATTCTGAGCGTGTGCGTTTGCGAGCGTGTGTATGTGTATTGAAACAGGCATTCCTCCCCATGATTGCAGGCAAATACGCACACATTTTGACTCGCGTCGCTCAAATACCCACCGCAGGCTTTTTAATTAAAAAAAAAAAATGTTTTAGTGTTTTGGTTTTGAGGGAGGGAAATTATAGGAGTATCTTTGGATTTTTAAAATAATGCACAGTAACTGTGATTATTTGCTAGTGGTGATTTCAAAGTCATGAAAGCAAATAACTTTCTCACTTCTTCCAGTAAGGAAAAAGAAAAAAGAAAAGCCCTGTTACCAAGATTTGTTTTGTGTGCATGTATTTTATGCACACTGGAAGTGCCAAGTTACTTTTTCAGTGAATAAAAGGGACATTTGATACCCGGAGTATACACACCCCGGAAAATAATCCCGTTGACAGATAATTTAGTTGGGGGGGGGGAAGAATGTGGAGAACGAGAGAGGAACCAACTCGGCTACCTGTTACTGCTCCAGAGGCAGCCAAGTCCCCAGCAGCCACTGCAGGAGCCAGAAATTCAGTTGTCTCACTAAAGGCTTTTTATTTTCTTTATTAGAAGCGGCAACTTCTCTATTGCCAATCGCTGACCATTATAATTACTCAATTTTTAAAAGAGAGGTTTGAGGCGAAGTTTGAAAAGCCCCAATAAAGAGCGGGCGGCCCTTTCAATGGGCTGTTTATTAGAGAGGAGCCTTCCGCACCTGATCCCAAGCGCGTGGAAGGGTGCTCTGCGCTGTGCCCCCAGCCCTGGCCATGTAGCTAGCGCTTTTGTACAAGGTGGAAATTCACCAGAGGGACAGCGGTGGGAGGCGAGAAAAGAAAGGCGAGGGTGGGATGGAAGACCCCTGCCCACTTTTGTTGCCAAATGTTTCGTTGATGGTGAAATAATTTGGTGGAAACTACTTTTTCTCCGCCATGCATTTGCCCTTCAATCTCCGGTTAGTATAATCTTCTTAAAAATCACTGCCACCGTTAGTAAATTACGTAATGGCTCTTCAACTGTAATCGCTAAATACAAGAAGCCAGGGCAGAGAAGGGAACAAACAAAATTGCGATTTTCAAACTCATTTTTTGTGGAGTTGGGACTTTGAACTCATGCAGATAAACGTGAAGTAGTAGGGGGAAAAAAACCCCAAACATGAAGTAGTCGAAATGTATGCTCATTTTCACGCATATTATTCTGCCACATAATCACCATAAACACACTTTCACCAATCACTAGGAAACATACACACAGCAGTGTACATATACACATATTTACTCTCTCCCTCACCTCCAGCCCTGCCCTGTCTCCTATGTGTCAGCGGGGCACACACACGCCATTATAAAACACAGCATTTAACTTTTTCTTAGGGGCATCCATTTTGTAATGAGCTGGAACTTCTCTTCACGTGCATTTCTACAAGGTTAGGGAGTGGGAGCTGAAGGCATAGGTAGTTTTTGAATGTCGCGTTTTTCTCCTTTTCTTTCTGTTCCTCTCTCCCCCCTGTTGAATGTAGGAAACCGAAACATGACCAAATCATACAGCGAGAGCGGGCTGATGGGTGAGCCTCAGCCCCAGGGTCCTCCCAGCTGGACAGACGAATGTCTCAGTTCTCAGGACGAGGAGCACGAGGCAGACAAGAAAGAGGACGACCTCGAAGCCATGAACGCGGAAGAGGACTCACTGAGGAACGGGGGAGAGGAAGAGGACGAAGACGAGGATCTGGAAGAGGAGGAAGAAGAGGAAGAGGAGGATGACGATCAAAAGCCCAAGAGACGGGGCCCCAAAAAGAAGAAGATGACCAAGGCGCGCCTTGAGCGTTTTAAGCTAAGGCGCATGAAGGCCAACGCCCGGGAACGGAATCGCATGCACGGGCTAAACGCGGCTCTGGACAACCTGCGCAAGGTGGTGCCCTGCTATTCCAAGACGCAGAAGCTGTCCAAAATCGAGACGCTGCGCCTGGCCAAGAACTACATCTGGGCTCTGTCGGAGATCCTGCGTTCGGGCAAAAGCCCTGATCTGGTCTCCTTCGTACAGACTCTCTGCAAGGGCTTATCCCAGCCCACCACCAACCTGGTTGCCGGCTGTCTGCAGCTTAATCCTCGGACTTTTCTGCCTGAGCAGAACCAGGACATGCCTCCGCACCTGCCTACCGCCAGCGCTTCCTTCCCTGTGCACCCCTACTCTTATCAGTCGCCAGGGCTGCCCAGTCCGCCCTACGGTACCATGGACAGCTCCCACGTCTTCCACGTTAAGCCGCCGCCGCACGCCTACAGCGCTGCGCTAGAGCCCTTCTTTGAAAGCCCCCTGACTGATTGCACCAGCCCTTCCTTTGACGGACCCCTCAGCCCGCCGCTCAGTATCAATGGCAACTTCTCTTTCAAACACGAACCATCCGCCGAGTTTGAGAAAAATTATGCCTTTACCATGCACTATCCTGCAGCGACCTTGGCAGGGGCCCAAACCCACGGATCAATCTTCTCGGGCGCCGCTGCCCCTCGCTGCGAGATCCCTATAGACAATATCATGTCCTTCGATAGCCATTCACATCATGAGCGAGTCATGAGTGCCCAGCTCAATGCCATCTTTCACGATTAGAGGCACTTCAGTTTCACCATCCCCGGGAAACGTACCCACTGTGCTTACAGTGACTGTGGTGTTTACAAAAGGCAGCCCTTTGGGTACTATTGCTGCAAAGTGCAAATACTCCAAGCTTCAAGTGATATATGTATTTATTGTCGTTACTGCCTTTGGAAGAAACAGGGGATCAAAGTTCCTGTTCACCTTATGTATTATTTTCTATAGCTCGTCTATTTTAAAAAAGTAATACGGTTAAAAAAAAAAATGCACCACAAATTTGGTGTAGCTGTATTCAGATCATATTAATTATCTGATCGGGATAACAAAATCACAAGCAATAATTAGGATCTATGCAATTTTTAAACTAGTAATGGGCCAATTAAAATATATATAAATATATATTTTTCAACCAGCATTTTACTACTTGTTACCTTTCCCATGCTGAATTATTTTGTTGTGATTTTGTACAGAATTTTTAATGACTTTTTATAATGTGGATTTCCTATTTTAAAACCATGCAGCTTCATCAATTTTTATACATATCAGAAAAGTAGAATTATATCTAATTTATACAAAATAATTTAACTAATTTAAACCAGCAGAAAAGTGCTTAGAAAGTTATTGTGTTGCCTTAGCACTTCTTTCCTCTCTAATTGTAAAAAAAAAAAAAAAAAAAAAATTGCACAATTTGAGCAATTCATTTCACTTTAAAGTCTTTCCTTCTCCTTAAAACGAAAACCAGATCCATAACTCTTAAGAGGATAAAAAAAAAAAAGAGATGTAGTCCCTATCAAAACATATCAATTCAACACATTACTTGCACAAGCTTGTATATACATATTATAAACAAATGCCAACATACCCTTCTTTAAATCAAAAGCTGCTTGACTATCACATACAATTTGCACTGTTTCTTTTTAGTCTTTTACTCCTTTGCATTCCATGATTTTACAGAGAATCTGAAGCTATTGATGTTTCCAGAAAATATAAATGCATGATTTATACATAGTCACACAAATGGTGGTTTGTCATATATTCATGTAATAATAAATCTGAGCCTAAATCTAATCAGGTTGTTAATGTTGGGATTTATACCTATTGTAGTCAATTAGTACAGTAGCTTAAATAAATGCAAACCATTTAATTCATAATTAGAACAATAGCTGTTGCATGTAAAATGCAGTTCAGAATGAGTGCTGTTTGAGATGTGATCCTGGTACCACTGGAATCGATCTGTACTGTAATCTTGTTTGTAATCCTGTATATTATGGTGTAATGCACAATTTAGAAAACACTCATCCAGTTGCAATAAAATAGTATTGAAAATCCAACCAATTGTTGCATTTCTTCTTAAAGTGATTTTTAAATATAAATAATTCCTAAGCAGAATAGTTGCTTTATTTGCTGAATTAAAAAAATACTAAATGTATTTGTAGAATAAAATAAAAGACAAAAGTTTACTTTAGCATACTCTCTAGTCTGTTTATCTTGGTTAAGGAGTCACCAGCTCCTTGTAGATAATGAAAGAACCTAACTCATATTTTATTACATGGAATATGAGGCCAGGGGGTGGGGTGGGGAGACAAATGGTTGTTTTGTTTTCCTTTGTTTTAAGTGTCTTCACTTTCAGCTTTCTGTTCTTTTAAATGATTATATTATGTTTTTCCCATTTTTTTTAAAAAGGAGTAATTAATTATTAACAAACAGACACAAACAAGTGCCCTAGCTTAGTTTGTCTATACATTTGAAAATATATAAGAAAACCTTACCATTTTCTTAGTGCTTTGTTATTTGTACATTTTCTTGAACTGAATTGCAAATCAGTACTATCACAAAGTACCATTGCACTTTGCAAGCCAATATTATACAATAGTACTATATCATGTAGTACTGGTTTGCAAACCAGTACTATCCCCAAAGACAGTTATGTACCTTTAGGAAATGCCAGGGGGAAATGACTTAATTAATTTAAAGAATCCAAGAAGTGGCATTTTGTAATTATCTTATGAACATCTTGTGATGATCTCAATAATTCTTTCCAGAAGAAAATGTAGTGAGTTATTTGTACTCAGGAACATACTATTTGTAGTATATTTTAAGAGGATACAGTTGTGTCCCTTCCCTTTTTGGAACGCTAAATAGAACTCTGTGGAAAAACTTACAGATGACTCTGTCTATTGTTAAGTCCACCAAAAAAAAAAAAAAAAGAAGTTTGGCATTTCTCTTCCTCTGGATGTATTGACTGACAGGAATGCTTCCTAGGGAATAACATTTTGGCACTTGTGCCCTGGCTCTACCATGGTGCTCTGATTACTGTCATTAGTAACTCCATTGTTCCTCCTCTGATTCGGATGCCACATTGGATGGCTACCTCTCTTCCCAAGCTTGTTCCTTTAATCTCCTTCTCATTGGTGATTTAGGGGTTCCAGAAAGCTGACCTCATTTAGCAAACTGCTCCAGAAAAATGTGAGTAATCTAATGGACAGGAACAATTAGCCATACTAATAACATTGCCAATGAGGCTATGTCAAGCTGTGACAGTAGCAGTAAGGAATATTTCAACATTCAAAGATGTTTGAGTTCAATTTAAAATATATCATTTTAGCATGTTTTCCATCAGCCTTCATCAGATGACAGAAATACTTTTAAGTTAGTCTCAACTTTATCCAAAATGCAGTAATCTCATTCCAAGTGAATCAGGGTTGTTATTTTGAAATCAAGCTGTTGCTTCTAGGATTGCTCTCACTGTTCTTACTTTAAGAGATGTACTACTGATAGGCTATCTGAACAGTGTCAGCCTTCCAGCCTAGGGAACCATGAAGTGAACATTCAGATCTATGTGATCTCTTCAGCCACTTAATTTCACCTATAATTAATATTATAAATCTTCATGCAAACTAAAAACTGTTGCTGTAGCAAACAGAAGAAATAATAAGAGAATGCATTTTAAGGATTCCAGCTTTTAGTTTCTTTTTTTTTTTTTTTTTTTTTTTAAGGATTCCAGCTTTTAAAACACCAAGCAAGGAAATCTATATTGTGGATTTTTTGTTGTTGTTGTTTGGTAAGGTAGAAATGCAGACTCTAAGTTTTTTGTTTTTTGTTTTTCCCTTTCATTTTGCCTATGTAACTTCATTCTAAAACATAAGGATTCTTTCAGTCAGTCAAGGAGTAACTCACATGCCACCATCTTTTATTCAACGGCAGGCACAGCTGTTCCTTCTGCAGGGGAGGTTTTAATTTATGAAAATGATATTGTTTATGCATGAATGAACTGAATGCACTCTGCATCACACACAGCACTTCCATCTGATCAGAGAAATACCACAGAACCAGTGCCAATGTCAGAAACATATTCTACGAATTTACTCACTTAAATGTTTAATGAATATTTGGAAGGCATTTTCAAACCACAAGAAACCTTTTCAATTATCTTTTTCTTTTCTTTTTGAATTGCCACCAATATTTAAAAGAGACTCAGTTTTTATAATTGGCTAATGCCTATATCTAGCTAATAGGGAAAAAAATGTTTTACTAAGTCAAAACCAACCAAAAAGAAGAAACACTGGCAGCTTTGGCTTCATTGGAAAAAAATATTTTCTTAGTGTTGTTGTATATTGCTTGTTATGAGTAACATTTAGGGTTCTATGTGTTCTTTCATCTTGGACAATTACTATTCCTATCAAATACAAAGCTTAGATCTACTTATCTAATGTGAAAATGCTCTAAAGAGTTATTTCCAGAAAAAAACTGGTATTTAAAATCAGCAGTCAGTTTCATAGTGGGAGATGAAATTTGGCTAAATATTTTAACCAGTGCATAATTCCTTTTGAATAGAACACTGCATAACTTAGATTTCATTTACATCACCAACTGCATTCATACAGTATGATCTATCTACTTTTAATCCTGAAAAATACAATTAAATGCAAATTAAAATGAAGAATTATAATATCTTAAGAATGTTCTGATAGTTTTAGGTTTATAATATGGTACAGTAAAATAACGTTTGCAACAAATTATAAGTGTTCTAATGTATTAATCTTAAAAAACTCCCTATGTTTTTACATTTGAAAGTCTATAATTCTTACAAAATTAATGCATTTCTGAAAGAAGCTAGCAATTACTAAAATGATATATGGATCATTAGCTAGCAGTTTGAAGCAAGTTGTTTTAGTTCTATAATTAAACAAGAGATTTAAAGTGAAAATATCTGTTCAACAATTAATAAAACTAGGCTTCAAATGTAGACTGATTTCGTCCTAATGAGAATTGTAAAACAGTAAAGCTGTTCTTAAACTACGCTGAAGCCTCCTCTCTTCCCTTTTCCTCTCCCTCCACCACCACTTATTTCCTAAAAACTATCTAAATAAAATCTTTAACTCCAGGGTATGATAAAGAATAAAAGAGCCAATGCAACATCTTGTGGAACACCAGGGCTGAGAACTCTTGTTGCTACCATTGCACAGAGGCATTCTGGTGTCAGATACATGGTGATTTGTATGGTGGCATAATCACTGGCTCTTGGCCAGGCATTATGTTTCAGAGGATACTATTGTCAAGGACCATTCAACTAGAAATCTGCACTGTATGCACTCAAAAGTTGAGATCATCTGTCTTCCCATGTCAGGAAGAGGTTTGTGCTGGCAGTTGACTCATAGACTCTTCACACACACTAACACTTGGTTCAATGACTCTGATGGAATTAGCTGGGTAACCAAACTAGTGGCATTGACAAGGCCACAGCCCCTGGGGACTTCTGTTTAAATTGTGAAACTTAAAATATCTTAAAATGCAGAGTATTATGTAAATGCTGGACTAAATCCTCGGATACATTAAATGTGGATTTGGCCATCTAAACATTACTGTGCTATTTGCCCAGCTGATATAGAGGTAAGTGGATAGTGACAATAATCATTTTTATAGATCCCCAGGTATAGAGCAATCCAAAGGGATAGATTGTAAAATAACATCTAGAGATCAGAGAATAAGTTTAATCTCACATCTATGAGGAAACTTGGTAACTTACTTTGCTGTTAACAAGATTAAAAGCTAACCCTGCTTTAGGCTTTGATGCCTTAAAGACACACCTCCAGGAAGGTGGCCTCACATGCTTACTAGGTCAGTGCTAAGTGCTAAGTGCTCTCTGTTCATTACACATTTCATAACCAAGCAGCCCTGTGCCTTATTTTACAAATGAAGGACCTGCAGGAAGCTGGGATACCTGGATACTTATATGACTGGTTTCCTTTCTTCATTCAGGTTCTGGTTCAAATGCCACTTCCTCAGATCCTCATCTAAAGTAGCAACCACTTTCAACCTCACCAAAATCAAAATTATATTGCCCCCTCCCTTTTCCAGAGCATTTATCTGATGTTATCTTGCTTACTTATTTATTTCATTTATTTTTAAATCATCTATCTCCCACTGTAGAATGTGGGCTTCATAAGAACAGAAACCTTGTTTCTTATTTGTTGTTTCTCTGGTACTTAGAAGATCTAGAAGATCCTCAATAAATATTAACATTCCAAGAAGACCAAACCACACTAATCTAATGCTAAAGCTATGTTATAAATCAAGCCAGTTTAGAATGGGAGAGGACCACAAATGATTCTCAGCCCAGTGAAAGTTATAAGCATTAATTCTAGAAAAAGAGAACAATTGACTAGTTTCTTTTTTTAA